TACAGCCTATCCAGACCGCTCGTTGGGCCTTCGGGACAACCGGTCCGCCCTGGGTATCTTGGCCTACAGCACACAGCAGGACCCGCCTCAACCTAACTCCAGTCCAAACAACCATGTGCACATATACATACAATCATATAGCAACTCATAGTCAACAAGCAGATCAAACAGATCACATAGCATATCATCATCCTAACTAGGATACCGACCTGACAGGTCACTAGCATAGCATCTCCCTATCACTCAGGGCACTGTTCTCAAACAGGTCTCTATATACCATCCTAACTCTCGGGATGCAAACATAACATAGCAATTAACATAATAACAACTACCCGGATAAGGGCCGGCCTTGGTGCCTTAGACCCTGTTGATATAGTGAGGATAACTAACCTCGAAACTGCCGACTGAACAGATAACCCGAACTGCTCCGATCACTAATACGATCTCCACCACTGGACAACCGCCAATGCACTGAACTCAGAACAACAATCAACAATTACCAAAATGCCCCTGGAAACCACTGGTCAATCCTTGGTCAAAGACAAGGTCAAAGTCAACCCCTTACTGACTCTACTTGCCGAGTCAACCCGATGACTCGCCGAGTCCCCATACTCAGAACTTCCCTCAATTCGCAACCTAACTCGCCGAGTCACCCCGAGACTCGTCGAGTTCAACAACTCTGAGTCCACTTGCACACAACTCAACGAGTCATCCCTTGACTCACCGATTCTCGACTCGACCAGAAAATATTGGGACTCTTCGACAAGACTCGCCGAGCCCAAGAACAGACTCGCCGAGTCTAAGGCTATCTTCAACCTACTCGCCGAGTTGTTCATACAACTCGCCGAGTTCCAGGCAATCTTCATCCTACTCGTCGAGTTGTTCATACAACTCGCCGAGTTCCAGGCCATCTTCAAGCAACTCGTCGAGTCCACCCATGTGACTCGCCGAGTACCACCGGTCTGAATCCATACAGAAGCACTCCAGGCCATGCAATTGCTCCAAAACATAGAAACAACATGACAACAGCCCAAGAACGAGATATTACCTCCAAAGAACGTCCCAACTGCAATGAAATTCGAATCCAAGAAAAGCCCCTTGCTCTAAGCCTCTCCTTCTCTAGAATCTCTTCCACAATCACCTCTCCAAGATCCAATTTGCTCAACAATGGTGCTTCTCCACGATTTTAGGGTTTCTAGGACTCAAGGGGGCATAAAGAGGCTAAGAGAGGGCTGTCATGTTCTTTATATAGGGCTCAACCTCGAGAATTAGGGTTTTCTCCACTCAGCGCCTACTCGCCGAGTCCGTCTCACTGACTCGCCGAGTCAACTACTTAACACGCGACCCAATCGCGACTCTACTCGCCGAGTCCACCCATGGACTCGCCGAGTCACTCTTTCCCAATTTACTCTTTTAGCCCTTCTACTCTACTCTTGATATTTCGGGATGTTACATAATCAAAGTACAACAACCATTGCATTAATAGTAATAGTTTTACATGGTTTACATTACATAGAAACTTCAAAGTAATACAAGTAATTATGTAGATGCAGCTTGGTACTAAACGGTCTTCACAAAAAGCGCCTGAGATGTACTTGTCTATTTCTGACCTGAGAATACAAGTTATTTGAAATCGAATATCAACATTTTTACAAATGCTGGTGAGTTCATAAGTATTTAGTGTCATTTTATCCAAATAACTTTATATAAGTAGTAGTTTTTAGAGTATACAGTGAATTAGAGTCCTTACCAGAAAATCCTATATTTTCTGATTTAAATGCAATCTTCTACCAAGATTGGACGGAATTATGTTGTAAAAATTAGTTTTTCCCTTAACACTATCATTATCAAATTATGGTATTGATTTTAAAGAAAGTAGGAGAATATCAGTGAAAATAACATATGCCTCAGCAGTGAAGACTGCTGACTAAGGCAAAAGAAATCATAGACTCCAGGAGAGTATCGAATGAACGACGCGCTTGACTCAGTCTAACGAGTGAACACACAGACCCCAGACAGTATCAAATGAATACCTCTAGCAAAGTCTAAAAACAGTGAATACAGACCCCAGACAGTATCAAATGAATGATAAGTCTAGCAAGGTCTAAAAACAGTGAATACAGTGTTAATTCCCATTACCTTAAGGCCATGAATTATAAGGTAACCCCGAGATACACGTAACCTCACTGATAGACACTAGAGAACTTGACGCCCTACAAGCGTCGGAAATAATGTGACATCTGTCACCCCTTGGGCTTGGTAGGTCGTGGACTGTAGCTAGCAGTCAGGGTGCGGGGGTGTCAATCTCGTATAGATCTATACACAAAATGCCCTCTCTCCCTACAAGAGACTCTGGTTACCAAATAGACGGCGGAGAAGGTCGTGTCCTGACGATGCATCTCCAATAGTGAGATCTAGTGTAAAATACTGGACAAGTGATAGAGACTCACAACTGAACTGACCGATGTAAACCTATATGTCTATGCTTGTATACATAATGTATAACTAATGATCAAACGACCTTTGGACGGATATCCAATCCCACCAGACCACATCTCAACGAAGAAAAGGAAATAGGGCGAAATAGCCTTCCTAAGTCCTTTAAACATTATTTATATAACTTATACAAGCACATGCATACATAGAAGCATTTAACGAAGTTTAAGTGTTTAACGAAGTAGAAGTGTTTCACAAAGTATAAGTGTTAACGAATAGGGGCGTATCGTGAAGTAGAAGCATCTCGTGAAGTATAAGCGTATCGTGAAGTATAAGCGTAGCATGAAGTATAAGCGTATCGTGAAGTATAAGCGTATTGTAAAGTAGAAGTGTATCGTGAAGTAGAAGTGTATCGTGAAGTAGAAATGTATCGTGAAGTATAAGCATATCGTGAAGTAGAAGTGTATCGTGAAGTATAAGCGTATCGTGAAGTAGAAGTGTATCCACTACTAGAAAAAAGGCCTTTTACGACGCTCATTGCACGTCGTAAAACGCTCAGACGACGCGCAAATGCGCGTCAAGGAAGGCCCTGTCATAAACAGAGATGACGCGCTTTTGCGCGTCGTCTATAGACGACGCGCATTTACAACGCGCATTTATGACGCGCATTTACGACGCGCGGTTATGACACGCAATGTGTATCAAGGAAGGCCCTGTCATAAAGGAAGACGACACGCATTTGCGTGTCGTAACCTTACGACGCGCCTGTTTATGACGCACAATGCGTATCAAGGAAGCCCCTGTCAAGAAAGGCCATGTCATAAATGAAGATGACACACATTTTTGTGTATCATAATTTTAAATGTTAAAAAAAAATATTATTTACAGATTTATTAATTTTCAAATTAATTTTGCATTTAATGTCTCATAACAGAAAATAAAATACAATATACAAAAAATACAATCCATTGCATAAAATTTATTGTCATATAAATAATCATTCAAATAGTAGACAAATATTTGTACATTATTATTAACAGGTTTTCCTTAACTATATAACCTAGTACTACATTGCTATTTCCTTAGTTAATTTGTGTACATTGTTGTAAGCAAGTGTGTATTGAAGCACCTTCCATGTAGTAGTACCCCCTTGACCAATGCTAGTATCAGAACATAAAGTACCTTTCTGCACAAAAAAACAACAATCAATCAACAAAGAGTCAACATTCTTAAAAATACTATATGAACCTTCTCAAGTGATGCACATGGACCAAGAATACCCTGAATTACAATTTACAATTTACAACAAAAACAAGAACTAATTGAGTGAACCTAGAAGAATAAAATGCTAGGTCAACTTAGCTAAGTATTGAATCCATATGTAATGAATACAATCACAAATGCAAGTGATTAATGTCATTAATGGAATAATTTGTTGCCCTTGTCTTACCTTTATTAGCACCATATATCATGTCTCATTTCACCTCCAAAATCAACAAATTCAAATATCCATGATTTGGACCTAAGAACCAGGGAATACAAAGATACAAATAATATTTAATAACATTCTCTGAAATATAAACACTAAGACATGGTGATAGAAGAGAGCGAAAAATGCTATCATATCTCACGAGGGATATCTTTCTTCCAACATGTCTTTGTTGTTCAACTTGTAAGTTATTTGGATGCGCATAATGATTGCTTACTGCCATAACAATCAACATTCGTCATGTAAACGATATTTTTTTTTGTTAAAAAAAAAACACAAACATTTCATTCCATGATGATTTAGTTATAGTTACCTTTCCATGTTGAGTGTTGGTAACTCGTAATTTTTGTGTTATTGAGCCGTTACCATTTGCAGGAAGAGATTTACTGCTAGCAGGTTCCAAATGCAACTGAAGAATTTAAAAAATAACTTTTTTTACCAAAATTTATTATAAAATAAAAAATAAATAAATAAACATACTAGGTGAATATGTCTAATAAATCCATCATAGGTGAAGGTGATGAAAGGCTGCCTAATGGAGTAACTGAAGTTTTCATATTATTATTATTATCTTGATTTATTGATAATATATCATCATGTGGTGTACATGAACCATTTTGATGAGTAGCTGAATAAACATACCTCTGGGTTCTGGGTTTCATGTCAAATTAAAAAGACTCCACCAACCCGTGTGTTGCCTGTAAACACAACAAGGTATTGCCTTTAATCTATAACAGTGTTTAATAGCTGAAAACATTAAAAAAAATGATTATTACTAATGTATCAGGATTCAATAATCTATAGTGTTGTTTAATAGCAATAAAGATACATGATCAAAATTAATTACCTCATGGAGACATACACTTGAATGCAAAAAGTGTAAGAATAACCTCAACAGAAGATGCTAAATCCAAAATATTTAAATCAAAGAGAAGGTAGGAATCAAAATATAATAGAAAAAATTCTATAATCGAGTAGATTTTTCAGAATGTGTGTGTGAGAGAGAGAGAGAGAGGGAGAGGGAGAGAGAGAGAGAGAGAGAGAGAAAACTGATCACCAAGTTGTGCTGCAAGAACTAAGTCAATCCCCTATAAACTAGCAGAGTTTGGACTTCAGCAGCAGTTGCCTAAGAAAATAAAGAGAAATCAATAAAAAAAAGATGTTTTTTTTTAATATTATGTGAATAAATGAAATAAGGTGAATACCCGAATTTGTCCTTCAGGTGGCAACTGTTGCAAGCAGTTAGCGAAAGCTCCATAATCGCCATATTGAGAAGTATCTTTCTTTGCAGATGCAAATAGTCTAGTAACCGCTACATCTGGTGTGTTGTTTTCCTGTTAGATTACAAAAATACCCTTGTTTGTTATTTGGACTTTAGGCAAACTAAAATTAATAAAAAGATGAAAGTTTTACCTTTGACGTGTAAGGTTAAAAGGGTACTTGTTGATTGGAAAATTGGAATGAATGTTGTTGCCAAAATAATACAAACAATATGTTATCTGTGGTACTTGTTTGTTTGGAAAAGGTATTGAAAAGTTCATAGGTTATTCAATTTATAATTTGAAAAGTACCAAATCTGGTAAAGTCAAATTCGAAACTTTTTTTAGGGGAATTAGATCTTGAAAACGGAGATATGTACCAATATATCAGATCGACAACAACACTTACATGCAAAAGCTGCAATTACAGATTCCTCTACATTTGGGGCATTTCCAATCAGCTGATGCTGTAGTTTCTTCTGCATTCTCTCCATATCTGATTCAACGGAAAAAATCAACAAAATCCAAACCTTAAATCCCCTCAAAATAGCTTTCTTTTTCAAAATACATACTTTTTAAAATTATATATTTTTGAGAAATAAAGGTATAATTATTGATGAAATTCATCTTCTGCAAGATAACAGAAGACCTGTTCTCGAGAGTATTGTGGCAAGAACTGTTAGACAAATTGAGACCACAAAGGAACATATTTGGTTGGTTGGGCTATCTACAATGCTTCCCAATTATGATGATGTTGCGTTATTTATGCGAGTTGACTTAGAGAAAGGCCTGTTTCATTTTGACAATAGTTACAGACCTTGCCCACTTGCTCAACAGTATATTGGAATTACAGTAAAGAAGCCATTGTAGAGATTTTAGTTGATGAATGATATTTGTTATGAAAAGGTGATTGGAGTGGCTGGAAAGCATCATGTGCTTATATTTGAAAAGAGGATGGGCCCAGTTAGCCAAGAAAGCCTTGAACTTGTGAAAAATGATAAATAACAGGATTTGGAATGTCTAAACCCCACTACGCCAATTTTACGGGATTAAAAATGACATTCTGATGAAACTGGAGAAGAAGGATCTAGCATGGGAAAGATATTATGATCTGTCATCACAGGAGCTGGGAGAGCTTGTTCGAGCCCCCAAATTGGGGTGAAATCTTCACAAGTGCATTCACCAATTCCCAAAGCTTAATCTTGCAGGACATGTTCAACCAATCACCCGCACCATCTTGAGGGTGGAACTCACTATCACTCCAGACTTTCAATGGGAAGACAGGATGTGAGTAGTTCAATTGCTGTTGCATATAAATAAATATAACAAACAAACAAACTACTCTCTCAATACCTTGGCTAATAATATTACCAACTTTTTTTTGAATATTTAGTTATATCTTAACAGCAAAGCCTCCATTTGTAGCACCCCTATTTTGTACACCAGGCCACCTGCACATCAAACGAAATTAACAACATTTATAATAAGATTATTGCAGCAATAAGAGATGAAATACAACTTGTTATTAAAGAAAAACAAACAACTTTCCTTGGTCTATATGAAGTCATTGGTTGATTCCGCATGAAGTTTTCTACTGCGAATAGGAGCTTTTCTAGCAGCTTCAACTACTAGAGGGAATTGGTTACCCCGAAAACTAGATCTCCTCTGAGAAAGAACACCCTGATAATTTATAATTATAAACAAAAAGGGTCAATCATCATTGAAAAAATCATGTCTTTCATGACTAACAAAATATGATATGTTAATATGTTATGAGTTTTATGACATGACAAACACCTGGCTAAGGGAGGATCTTGTGTCCATATAGAAGTGTAACTTCATAGATTTATCTTCAACATCATTGTTTGTAAAATTATGATTCTTATTCTGCATTAAATCATATTAGAATCACAAAACAGTAAATTTAGGAGAAATCTGAAAGAGGAGACGCTTAGAGGAACTCTTTGTTTCTTGGTTTTATTGGTGCGGGTGCCGGATCTAGTCTTCGACATTTTAATGACTGAGGGTGGAACTCACTATCACTCCTGATTTTCAATGGGTATGTGGAACCATTTGTATCCATCATCACAATCAACCACCCACCAAAACCAAAAGTAACCAAGGTATGAGGAGGTTGACCTGCAGATGACCACATATTAAGATCCATGATGTGAGTAGTTCAATTGGTTTTGAACTCCATACCCCTTCTCTTCAACCTATTAAGTGAATATCATAAAGTAGTACCCCATAACAAATTATTAATCTTGTTTTGTTGTAAATAATGGAAATGATAAAAGTTAGGTTCCAAGAAAACATACAGAGCTCAAGCATTTCCTCATGGTTTCACCGGAAGCAAACTGCACCCATAAATAAAACATAAATCGTATGTTGTTTATATTATAAACAAATAAATCCTAAAATAAAAGCATCAAAGTGAATAAAAAAGGGGAAATGGAAAAGTAGGAGTAGTTGATACCATAAAGTCAGATTGTTGCTGCTAATCTACTACAACACCCACTTCTGACCTAGGTCTGTGACCATGAATGGAAGAAAATGCAATTACAAAGGTCCCACAGCTCCACCACTAATTTTTGGACTGTTTGCCATGGATGCAAGATGTAATATGAATACCTAAAAATATACCTGAATCAAACACTCCTATGTCCCAATTGTCAGGAGCCTTTTTTGGCTACAGAGAGTGCACCACCTGTTAGTTTTAAGAAATCGGTTGCACAGCAACACCAATAGCATCGAGATTCAATGAAGCAATATCATTCATCAAACAACACAAACACAGATGTGGCATATAAAGAGAGCGTGAATGAGAGATTGAAAAGAGAGTGTGAAGATTTGTCCATGGGAAACCACTAAAAAAATAGAAAAGCAGATGATAGTGACATCAAGCAGCAACAACCTTCTTCATTTAACACCCCATATCAAATGTCCTTAAGAAATAATAAATCTGGGAGTGGGATAAGAACAATTGGTTTTGAGACTAATGTGACATATAATATTTGGAATAGAACCGGAGAGTTTACTGTAGTTCAAACTCGAAACATGCTAATGAAGAAGGCCCAAAAGGAGATTCGCAGATGGCTTTGAGAAAATCTAGGTTAAATTTGGAAGAAGGTAAAAAAAATCAAAAGCGAACGTCTAGAGCTTAACAAGTTTTTCTCAAAACAAACAAAAGACGTACCTGAATAGCTTCCCAAATGGCATAATCATATGGTCGAATAACCATGGTACCACGAACAGGGTCGTAATCAGCGAGCTCAGCCTGGGAAATGACATCGAGGTACCACACATTGAAATCTTGGGAATGAGGCATTATGCAGCGATGGTCGACGATTGAAAATCGATGATCGGCGTGAGCATGAGTCGATCAAAACCAGGGAATCAATTAAACAGGGAGAAAAAATTGAGGGAGGTTTATGTGATACGAACTTGAAACCCTAGTTCAAGCAATATTTGATTTTGTGGCCTTATGAATGTAAAGTTTTCAATATCTTGTGAGAAATGAAGCGATAGAGATCGATCTATGGAGGATGTGGGTCGTTCTTTGAGGGATTAAAAAAACCCTAGTTTCCTAGACTTTGTGAGGACGGGGTTTTCTAGTTTTTAGATTCCTGCAAGGTATTAAGGAGTGGCGGAGAAGCGGATCAGAGAGAAGAGAGAAGGAGGGAGAGGGAAGAGTAGACTGCGAAGATGAAAGATAGGAGGAAGGTAGAAGACAGGTTTTCAAAATTTTGGGGATTTCGTTTCCCCCTTTACTAAACGCGCATTTCATTAAAATTATAAAGCGACATGTACAGAGGACGCACGTTTAAAATAAAGTGCCCTCCGTGTTTTTAATTTCTTTTCTAGAGACACTAATTTAAGGGCACACAATAATGCGTGACATATATCCTTAAATTTTTTGAAGAGATGACACTTGTTTAACGTCACGCTCTTTTGCGTAACATAAATCAATGAGTGTCGTGGTTTGCGCGTCGTAAAAGGGTCTTTTTCTTGTAGTGATCGTGAAGTAGAAGTGTATTGTGAAGTAGAAATGTATCGTGAAGTATAAGCGTATCACGAAGTAAAAGTGTTAACAAAGTAGTAGCATTTAACTAAGTAGGAGCATTAACTAAGTAGAAGTATAACAAAGCAGTAGTAAATAACAAAGTAGGAGTATAAAAACATGGAAGAAAACTTTGATGAAATCTTTGGAAAACCTTTATACTTTAAGAAAATCATTCATCAACAAGTTTTGATTATAACCTTGATAAAGTGGAGAAAAGCTTTGTTTAAAATGCTGTTGTAACAGAGTTTGAAATAAAACATACAGCACGAGAGGCAATTTGAGAAAAGCTTTGAACACATAAAGATGTTTTAGAAACCATTTATAGTATCATACTTGGTAAAACAGTGACAGTGTAATGAATCCTTGTGCATGCGGGTTATCAATCACATGTGATTGATATTATATCTGGCATGTTTAACTTGTATTCCCCCCCCCCCCTAAAAGCAGGTAAAAACATTTAAAAGGTTAATTCAGGGGTATGAACTCACCTGTTGTAAGTAGATCCGACGGTGGTGCCGGTTGGGCGTTCGGTGTCAAGTAAAGACTTGAACACACTTAGTGACCTATTAACATATGTTGACATATGTTTACATACAATTAGTAAATATAATACTAATTAAACATGTATACGCATCCTAAATTGCAGAAAACACTTTGATTAAGTGCTTGGAGTGTCCCGAGTAACATTTAATGGTGTGTATGGCTTAGATAGGGAGTTTACTCTTCAAGAGTAAACTCTTTGTAGAGTTCATAGCCCTGGGACTAACTCCCCATGAGTTTATGGCGGTAAACTCATGGTGAGGGTGTTTTAGGATGCCAAAATGTCTTATATCAGTTGTGGAATTTTGCTAGGTCCAAATATAAAGTGTATGAATGGATTTAAGGCATCAAATGGACCAATTAAGGATTTTACGGCCCTAGACAAGGAGTTTACGGCCGTAAGCTCCTATGTACATATTCTTTTGGTGTTTTAAGGGCTTAAATGATAGGGAATAAAATCCTAAGCATTTTTCCAAGGCAAATGGGGTGTTTAGGGCATCATTTGGGCACCTTTTAGGAGTTTACGGACCATGGACCTTTCCTAGGGGGGTTTACGGCCGTAAACTCCTATTTCCTTGGATTTATTGAAGTTTAAAACCTTTACTTCAATGGGGGGGTTGCTTCTAAACATTTTCCAAGGCCATAGGAGGTGTTTTATGGCCCAAGCATGTTCTTGGGTAGTAAACTCAAGTTTACTCCCCAAGAGTTATGTTTAATGTGTTCTAAGTCCTTTTCCATAAGTCATTTAGCCATATCTAAGCCTTAGGGGTAGTTTAGAGGGGTTTTGGGGCTTAAAAACCCCATTTAATGGTGTTCACGGTCCAAGAGTGTTCTTGGGCCGTAAACACATGAATTTACCCCTATTTGATGTTTTAACCACGAAATTAAGTTGTAGAGAGAGAGTGTAGAGAGAGAGTAAAAAGGGTGGAAATGAACTTTACTATCCCTTATATAGGGGCTTGAGTTGAGGCTCAGTGGAAATCTACCCGATACTGCCGTTAAACAGGGCTTTTGGTTGCACCCGATTTAGTGGTCGTATTTTGACTTGGTTGAAACTAAAACTTTTCAAAGGATTACCGAGGGTGTTTCTAATTTGTTTCAATCCTTACTAAGTCATTTATAAAAGTCCCAAATTAATTGGTCAGTCCAAAAGTTAACGGACAGTTAAATAAAACGAGGCTTATTAACGGAAAAAGGGGTTAAAAATGACAGAATAAATTTTGGGTTGTCACTGTTGGGTTATGAGCATTCTAACACTCCTAAGTGTACATGCAACCCTAAATACCTTGGATCTATGTTTTCTCTATTATACATGCAAATATGAACGTCCAAGGTATTATCCTAATCTAGCATACAAAACAATCAATAAAGCAAGATAGAATAAATACCTCTTTGATGTAGAATGTCTTCATGAAGCTTGAGTGCCTAGTGCCCCAAGTGTGACACCTCAAATGGTTCACACAACACCATAAACACTTGGAATAACTTAGAGAGAATTCTACACTTCATGAAATCGGCTATCCCTCTCTAGAATAATCTAGTGGCCGATTTTTGGGAAGAATAATATCTTTATATAGTGTTACAATTAGGGTAAACCCTAATTGTCATGACTTTCCATTTCCTTGGATCCATGGGTTCAAATACACCATGGAGCATCCATGGAGCATCATATGGGTTTTGGCCCAACTAGATAATCCATGGAGCATTAGCCCACTATATAAGTATGGATGATTTACACAATCAACCCATATATTTAATTAGTCTTCTTTTGATCACTTAATTAATCCTAGATTAATTCTTGATCAATACTAATTAAATAATCTTATTATTCTTATTATTAATATACTAGAACTTATAATATATTAATAACCATAAGTGTCTTATTTCTCTCATTATAGTCTATCCAAGTGCATGATGCCATGCAACCCAAATGGACCATGCCGGGTCGGGTCAAGTCTTACCAATTATAGTTATGGACTTAGACATTAATCCAACAGTCTCCCACTTGGATAAGTCTAAAACTATTATTGCGTATGACTTCAGGAACCAACTGGCAATCGTAGCTCTCAAAAGCTTCTGTCGAACTCTGACCTTGTAGATGAACTCTGATCTTTGTCAATGACTTGTCCATTAGATAAGGGATCATATATTCCTCCATTCTAGATATCATATGGACTGAGACATGGATTATAATCATTCTCTCTGTCCATTTGTTGTTTCCCGATTTCCGATTTATGACGACTGACTAATTGAACAAATCAAATCAGTCCTGGCCCGGCCGAGCACTTCCATTTGTCATCATCAAATCATCGAGGGGCCCACAGATATCGCTTTTATCCCGAAGGTAAAAGGAATGGATAAACTTCGACTCATATGGCTTGTTCTACTACTTGTTGAATCATACACAAAGACACGTTTTATAACATCGAGTTACCAATGCGTTTCGTGTAATCAATGTACTATCAACTCATAGTAACAACTCATATCTCTAGGTTTGAAGAATATAAGATATTATCGTCTCATGATCACTCGTGATAAAATCCATGAAGTGATTCCAATGAGCGCGGGTTGAATCCAATACTCAGAACTTATGAGCACTCATGAGTGTTGTAGCCCTTTGTCCAACACTTAGACCTCTACAAGCCAACCCATGACAGTCTTAATTCATATCTACTTCCAACATATGACCGACTGTGGATGGTTTGAATAACTTAGTCATTCCGGAAGAATAACCTAGTTTATTCGGGAAGTCAAAACATGCAAAGTGAAACACAATAATAATTGAATCCAATATGGTCTCAGAACTTATGAATATAAATAAAACACCTTTTATTTATCACCATATGATTACACATTATTCATTGTATACTGTTTCAGCTATCAACATTATTCTTGAATTTAAAACAATAGTTGTCCCATGCTCCAAGCATGTACACTATGTTTTCTAAACACTAGTCATGCCATACACCAAGTATGCATACTATGTTTGTCTATGATCTTTACTTTGTGAACTAGATCAATTGAACATAACTTCAATGATTCTCTTTTCACACTCCCAAATCCTTACTGCAAATGCAAGAATTCCAAATTCATGTCATTTACTGAAATCTGTTAGATTCTAAACTTATATGCATTGATCCTCTTGTAATGATTATGCACAAAGTCAGAAAGACTTGGCAACAATCATTACAGAGCATTCCAAAGGAGATCAACTCCTTGGAACATCCTTCTTGCATTAAGTTTCCTTAATCTTACACAGATTGAAAATTCTAACTTTGAAACATTTCCAGATTCCATTTTGACTATCACTTCTGAACAAGAGTTGCCTCCTTACAGATTATGTCAATATGGTCCTTCCAGAATTATCACTATACTTCCAATTGTCCTTGAGAAACCAATCTTTGGTAAACCTTAGATTGTCCTCGACAATTGTTTAATCCTTTTAGTCATATCCAGTTCTAAACCTTTTCCCTTCTTAATGCCCTAGGCATTTGGAAAATTTTAGAAAGGATGAATATAGCACATGTAATCGATCCTATATCCGAAGCATATGGGACACGATTCATGATGTCTCACATAAAGACTAAACCAGTCTTTTGCTATAACATTTCCATTTCTATTTGCCAAGTTCTCATAATTCAGATTATGAAAAGGGATGCCGTAATCATAATCGAATTTAGAACGCAAATAATGGACCCATATACAGAATTTCCTTATGTTGAGCC